ACAGCAAGGATAATGTACATATCACCTCAGGGATTGTGGTAGCATACATGGAGATTACACAGGTCCAAGCCAGATGGCCCAGTACTGAGAGGGAAAGAAGACAGGAGCTCCTATACCTAACCAAGAAGCTATCTCCAACAGACAACTACTTGTAAAGGGAAAGTTCATTTTCTCCAAAGGAGTCTTACTGGGTATACAAATCTTTTAAAGGAAGGCCCCATGTCCAGCAATAGATGGCCAGCAAAAAAAATAAACTCTGGTATGTTTGGAGATTTTATTTAATTAGACAAAGTACAAGCCATTTTTTCCCTAGAAATTTTTGGAAAGAAACATTATACACTTAAAGATACAACCAGCTATTTAAGGGAAACAGAAAAGTTTGTAGACCTTCATTTCTGATTTTTCAAGAAATTGTTGATTGTGAGTAAGGGAGGGCTGAGGTATTAAAATGATGAGAATAGAAGAAAAATCACTAAATGTCATTAAGAACACGTGTGGCAGGGGCCAACATAAATATCACATATTGGCTGGCAGTATTAGTAGGCAATACGAGATTCCTACCTACGAATTTAAAGTGACTCAAGTGAGCATAGCTGAACCTTTCTGCCTGCTACATTCATTTGAGAGAATGTCAGTCTTAGTACATGTTAAATTTGTCCATGTTAGTTTCAAGTAATTTGAAGTAAGAACATAGAAAGTCAAAAGAAAGCATCTTCAATTAAATGGTGCTGGCATAACTGGATATCAACATGTAGAAGACTGCAAATAAATCCTTATCTATTGCCATGCACAAAACTCAAGTCCAAGTGGATCAAATACCTCAGTATAAAACTAGTTACACTGAACCTGATAGAAGGGAAAGTAGGAAGTAGTCTTGAATGTATTGGCACAGGAGACCACTTCCTAAATATAACACCAGTAGCACAGACACTGAGAACAACAATTAATTAATGGGACCTCCTGAAACTGAGAAGCTTTTGTAAGACAAAGGACACAGTAAATGAGACAAAATGACAGCCTACAGAATGGGAAAAGATCTTCACCAATCCCACATTTGAAAAAGGACTGATCTCCAAAATATATAAAGAATTCAAGAAACTATACATCAAAATACCAAACAATCCAATTAAAAAATGGGGTCCAGATCTAAAGAGAGAATTCTCAACAGAAGAATCTCAAATGGCCTAAAGACATTTAAGAAATTGTTCAACATCCTTAATCTTCAGGGAAATGTAAATCAAAACAACTCTGAGATACCATCTTACACCTGTCAGAATGGCTAAGATCAAAAACACTGATAACAACTTAATGTTGGAGAGGATGTGGAAGAAGGGGAACACTCCTCCACTGTTGGTGGCAGTGCAAACTTGTTCAGCCATTTTGGAAAACAGTATGGCAGTTTCTCAGAAAATTAGAAATCAATCTTCCTCAAGACCCAGCTATACCACTCTTGGGCATATACCTGTGGCAAGACATAAGAATATGCTATAAGGAGTCCAGCTGTGTATTAAAGCTATACGTTGACCAGGCCAAGAGTCAGTCAAGTGGGAAGCCATCTAGCATGGTCTATTTGGTGTTACACAGTATAATATTCAGCTGTGCCTTGTTGTGAACTTCTTGTGCTCACAATTCCCACAGAATGTGTGTGAACTTTCTGCTCAGGCCAGTACTTGGGTAAGGTCAAGGAGGCAAAGCCAAATAGGGGGTAGATGCATTGCTTTGTTTCTCTTGCAAATGAAGCTCAGACCATCCCCTCTTCTTGAGGCCTGGTGGCTCTCCAGAGCAACTGACTGAGAACAAAAGAGGTTTTTACATATCAAGGTAGAAGATAGGGTGGAGCAACATTCCTGAGGAGGCAGAAAACACTTGGTGAGGGAAAGAAGAGACTGGTGTTTTCTGTAGAGGCAGAAAGAATGGTATGACCAGGGAAAAGGGAAGAACACAGAGGTTTTGTAGTTGTTGAACTCTTGTAGAGTTCATCAGAGCCAGGAGTAGAGAGCAAGTAGAGATGGAGAGTGTAGAAACAGAGGATGAAGATGAGGCTGGAAGCAAAAGAGCTTAGTTGTTAGCAGGACTATGAGAGGGCAGTAAAAGAGGACAAAGAGGAACTGAGTGTCAGGGTGGAACTGAAGCTATGTAGACAGGATTTTATCCCAGAGAAATAAAGTAGATGGACAAAGAGCTTGGTGTATCTAGATTTATTCCTGCCCTGAAGGCCTGACAGAGCTGTAGCTGTATAGATAGAATTTTGTCTTAGAGGAATAAAATTAACAGACAGAAGAGCATAGTGTACACAGATTTTTTTTTCCCTTAGATACCCCACGCTGGATGTAGCATCTTCCCTATACTCTGGGCAATCTATATATACCCAAGGAATGTTCAATCATACCACAAGGACATATGCTCAACTATGTTCATAGTAGCATTATTCATAATATCCAGAACCTGGAAACAACCTAGATGCCCCTCAACGGAAGAATGGATTAAGAAAATGTGGTACATATACACAAACCCTGCTACATATTAGCATGTGTTCACAGTAGTTACCCATGAAATTTTAACTGCCCAATAAATGAAGGGAAAGAACACTGTAGGGCAGAGAAATCACACCAGGACCAATGGTTTGTAGATCCCTGTGAAACAAATGTTTGATGCAAGAAAGCAGTTAACTAGAAAGTGGGAAGATACAGGTCTGGAGAGTGAGTCAAGGGGGTGATGTTTGAGATGGATATAATAGCGATATTATATGACAAGATTTAGGGTGCCACTATAGGAGTGAGCAATGAGAAGTTGTAGAGAATGGGTTCAGCTTGCAAGATAGGAAATATTGAAAGGAGAGTGCATGGTCAAACAGTGTTTAAAAGCAGGGGCGTGTGAACAATTTTGAAAATAATGATTTACTCAAATTGTAACAGCAGTAAAAGCAGCTTCCTAACTCCTCATTCCCTCCATTCCTTAGTTTCTGCCTTCCTTCTTTTCTTTCTTCCTCTTCCTATTTAACTCCCTTCCTTTATCTATTGAGAATTAGTTTAATTTTCTATTCCACATTGTCTCTGAGCTTGCCATTTTTCAGCCCTTCATTCTTCCTGTGGGCCATGACTAATCTATAAGAAATCCTTCACTTACTTCTCTTAGTATTCTGGAAAGGTAAAATATTTTATCTATTCTAAAGGGATCTGTTATTTGTCTATCATTTATAAAAACTGAATATGCAAAAAAATCACACAACTGATAAATGGTAGCACCATTTCCAGATCTAACCATCTGATATTGAGTACATATTTTTATCCATTGTACGTTATATATTTAAAAAAAACACCTTTGCTTATATAAAGATTAAGGTAGGAGTTCTCTAGTCAAAAAACTTCTGAAGTTTTACTCTCTCTTTCTTTACACTTTACATTTAGTTACATTTATATGTATGACTGTTCACATTTTTAAAAAAGGAGTGGGTGATCCAACCATATTTCATAATGTTAACTACATACAGTGAGGGGACTATTAGAAACTGCAGAACTATTTCCAGAGACTGAGTAAATGATGATGAAGTGACTGACAGAATAAAAAAAGGCATGGATCACTTGGGTTGAGGTAGACGTATTAGTCCTGATAAGGAACAATGTTGAGAACCAGGGAGGGGAGAGTGTTACCTGAGAATTTTTCTTGGGTAATTGAATAGATGATATTAGCCTAAATGCAGAAAAAAGAGAAATAATAGTATTTGAGGAAACAGTCAGCATAGTTTGGGAATGATGAAATTAAATTATCTCCAGGCAACCCATATAAACTCATGAAAATAATTGGGAGGATTACTGCCTCCAGTTTTCATAAATGCACACACCAAGACCTAAATTCTCCTAACACCTCATAAAGTCAGGGAGACAATCACTGCACAGGAAAGGCCGACATAAATGTCTGCCTCTTTGTTCAATGATCAGTCTTAGTAAACACATGCCCTGTGTATATATGTTTCTCTTTTTATTTTAAAGCCAGGTCAAACTTTAAAAGAAAGCAGAAACTTTAAAAGATATAATTTAATTATGTTAATAACAACAACAACAAAGCATTTGAGAAGCAGCATGAATGGAATTCTTCTGTAGTCATTCTAAAGCTCCTTAAACAATCACCTGACAATCAAAACTGTCCTAAGGGTCCTGGGGTACTTCTAAGGATTCCCACCTCACTGAAGCCACACACATGAGAAACTAGAGTACCAGGAAACAGATCTCTACTTCTCACGTCTAACTTACTCAGTATGGCCTCAAAACTGAGAAGTCTCATTTCAAAACCACAACATCCTGAAATATTCTGAGAGTAAAAGGCTTTGGAAAAACAAAACAAAACAAAACAAAACAAAACAAAACAAAACAAAACAACCACAAACAATGAATTGCAACTTTGAAAGCAGAGTTCATTCTTACCTAGCCAATTATAATATTCACCAAATAACTTTTATCACACAACACACTCTGTGCTATGACCTTTATATGTTTGATCTTAATTTAATCCTAACAGAAACCTTGTAAGGCCGCTAATATTTCTTCTTTGTTAAAGGTCAGAAAAGTCACTGTATTTTTTCAGATCATATGATGTCAGTGACTAGTCACGGTGGCTTGTAATACTTTATTCTCTTGATATCCAGATAATTCTTTCCTGTATCAGTGAAAAAAACAAAACAAACAAACAAAAAAAACGACCCAAATTATATAGTCATTTGTATCCTTGCCTTTTGTCAGGGATGCTACGTAAATGATTTTAATTGATTTTGCAAGTTATCTTGTTTTCACAAAGTAAACAAATTCATTCAGACTGGATGAGGAACAGAGTAAAGATTTCACACATTCTTCCAGGTCCTCCTCAAATTCTACATCATCAATTTCTCTCATGGATATTAAAAGTGTTGAGGGAAAAAGCTGAAGTTTTTGATGGTACCTACCTGTTGTCACCCTCTCTGGAGAAAAAGACTGTGAAGGTTTGGATGTTCCCCTTTGCTTCTGCAGGTGGACGCCAGCTCAGACGGACAAAGCGACTAGAAACCAAGACAGGGACCACATCTCTGGGAGCAGAAGGAAGGATGCTGGAGCTTGGGATGGCTAAGGAGGAACAAGAGGAGATCATCAGAAGTGCTTGTGCTATAGTGAAAATCAGGCATGAAGTCAGAGCTGAACTTAACATACATAGCCAAGAACATCAAATATGTTCTAATAAAGGCTAATAAGAGAAATAACTGCTGTGGTATGGTCTTTCTGTATGCTGTGAATATGTGTTGCTCCCATTGGTTAATAAATAAAGCTGCTTTGGTCTATGGCAAGGCAGGATAAGAGCCAGGTGGGAAATCCAAGCAGAGATATAGGGAGATGAAGGGTGGAGTCAGGGCAGACACCATCCAGCTGCCCAAGGAGCAAGATGCCAGTAGACCGGTATAACACCATGGCCACGTGGCAAAATATAGATTAATAGAAATGGGTTAGTTTAAGATTTAAGAGCTAGCTTGCAATAAGCCTGAGCCACAGACCAAATAGTTTGTAATTAATATTAAGCCTTAGAGTGATTATTTTATAAAAACAGCTGCTGCTCAGTTGGTACCAGGCAGGACTGAGAAAATTCAGTCTACAAATAACATCTGAAATGGAATCAAGGCTAGATTAGATTTTCTAGGCCTTTGAAGCAGTGACTTATCAACAACACATATGATTTTATTGTATGATATGCAGTTTTTATTATTCCTGAAATCCATGATAAAAATAAAAAAAATAGCAGGGAAAGACATTGAGTAATACAATTTTTTTAATGTTTAAAAAAGTCATTGTGTGTGTGTATGTGTGTGTGTGTTTGATATGTATGCACAGGCAAGCATATACCACTGCACACAGATCAGAAAAAGCTATGCGGTAGGGTCTCTCCATCTACCTTAACAAAGCCCTGATAATGTGAATCTTTAATATATATGTAATTTCTGTATAGGATTTGCTTTAGAAGTATGGAGTCAATACAATATTATTTAAACATATTATATTTCTTATGAGATCAAGTGATGGAATATTTTGAACAAGAGACATATTGGCAATATGATGGTAGAACAAATTATTGTATATAATTAATAATGTTTCCTGGAATCCTTTCTGGAATGAGGCAAGGGTTGAGTAAGTAAATGAATAAATGAGTAAATAGACAAAAAAAAAAAAAAAAAATCACGTGTCTATATTTGAAGTAAAACATACAATTCGGAATGTTTATTTAAAACAAGATGTTTATATAAAAAATTAAAATAGTTACAATTTTGTCAAAGTGAATCAATTAGCTTTTTTGAGGAGTTGAAACAGAAGGGAAGGGCCATAGTCTCACAGGGATGTAACAAATGCTGTTGATTGTTTTGTTTATGGTTTTCATTATTTCAGGAGATGCGATTATGTATAATTATCATAAATAGGGAAGTCACCTGATGTCAGGCAAATACACGATTTCTTCTGTCAAAGAAAAGTTATAATTCTCTTAATTACTGATTTCATAGGTGAAAGGTGATTGACAACAGAAAAGACACAGAACAAACAGTTGTACACAAACTGACAGAGACTGTAAGGTTCTCTTTTAGCATTAACCCAATGAGAGGCCAACATTCTACACAAATACTACAGGAAAACAAGCAGCAGTGACAAAACCTTATTCACTCAGAGGGTCCTTATACTGTTTTTGATACAACTTGGAGTAACCTATTTATATAATTATAGAGGACCAAAAATATTTAAAAGCAACAAATTAAGAGCTTACGGTCAATGTGAAACCAAGTGATCAACACCTCCCCATCTCTAGCCTCAGGTCACCATAGTTACATCTCTTTGCACTCAACTTTATTGAATGTGTGTTCATTATAGTTTCCTCTCTAGTTCTACCTTAGGGGGATTGATTTTACAATATATTACATGGAAGAACACAGAAAGATGGATAGTTTATAATATTGTGTTCTATATTGTAAACTATGAAAGTGTACATTTGATATGTCACATTTAACAAATGAGTGAGGTGATAGATTTGTAATTAGCTTGGTATCACCATGCCACACTCTGTGTGTTTCTTAATTAGGGTTACTTTTGCTATGATGAAAAACCATGACCAAAAGCAAGATGTGGAGGACAGCGTTTATTTGGCTTATACTTCCACATCACTGGTCATCATCAAAGGAAGTCAGTGCAGGAACTCAAACAACAAAGGAACTTGGGTGCAGGAACTGATGCAGAGGTCCTGGAGGGTGCTGCTTACTGGTTTGCACTCAAGGCCTGCTCATTCTAATTTCTTATAGAACCCATGACTTCCAGCCCGGAGGAGACCATCCACAAAGGCTGGCCCTTCCTACATCAGTCGTTAATTAAGACAATGTCCCACAGGCTTGCCTACATCCTGATTTTTTAGAGGCATTTTCTTAATTGAGGCTCCTCCCTGTCAGATGACTTGCACTTGTGTCAAGTTGACATATAGCCATCCAGCATAGTGCATATACCAAAATATCACAGTGTACTCCATAAGTGTACAGGGATAGTTTTCAATGAAATGCAATACTGTTAATATGTAGTTTTCAATTGAAATGGGACTACCTAAAGACTGAAGTAGTTGCCATGAATAATCTGCAAGGAGAGACAAAAAGAAATCCTTTAAGGCATAAAGATATACAATTGTGCTTTACTTTAGAGTGTCCCTGAACTTAAGACAGAAATTAGTAACTGCTGCTCATAGGAAGTGCTCTGCAGCACTTAGAGTTGGAAAAACAGATTTGCAGATATTTGAGTCACTTATAAATTCCAACGTCATTCTTCTCCTAATTATGGTGTGCCTGTAAATGCATAATTCATCTTTGGTGGATGTTTTGTCTTTTGTTCAGCTTCCTGAATCAAGACAATGTTTCATCTTGACAGATGATTTCTAGCTTCAAACTACAAACAACACAGTTGCCTCTACACAACCATTTTAGGCAATAAGAAATAGTTTATTCTAGAGCAATTTTGAGTGACCATGTTCCATGTTTTAACATGAAAGCAGTTCCACGAAGTTTTATAATTTTATAGAAAAAAGAAATGAATAAATCAAGGCAAATTTAACATACACTGATGAGAAGATCAGAGAGTTGGTTATAGCAAGATGGGGGAAGCTTTTCTATAGGCCCAAGATGTTCTCTAATGATATTCTTAGCTTTTGGATTGATGGTAGTCTGCAGTCTGCTAAGTTAATAGATTTTTAAAGGTTTCTATCTATTACTACTACCAGGATGTTAGTGCAGACACAGAAGTGGGCAAGGAATGTCTGTTCCTGAAGGTCAGATATAGCCCAAGATCAGGTAACTGGCATCTTGGACCTGCAACATTCCAACCTCTCCACAGTACTGAAAGTCTAGTCAGCCAGCCAGTTTCAACAGACACAGTTTTTATTCACAGTTCACACTGTTGGCTAAGCACCACATTCTGTGTCTGTGGGGTCCATGTATTATTTATTAAATATTATCAGGTTCCTCATTGCTGGGAAGGCTTCTTCCTGAGATCTGATGTAGATGAAGCTGAGCTGTGAGGAGGACAGCAGTTATGCCCCAGGAGACAGGAATAACTGGTAAGGACCATTAACACAGAAACTCCTGGTGCACTCGCTCCTTGAAAAGTCACTTTCTTCACCATTTAAATATTACTAAGCTAGTTCAATGAATACTAATAACTGTAAATCCAGGGGAAAGTACATAGTTGATCTTTTCAAAAACATGTAAAATTTGGTTATTTTAGATGTTTGTTCCACCTGTAATCTTCACTCCATTAAGCCAACCTGTGTTCTTGATTACTTAATTTTAGGTATATAAATCTACATCACATGTAAATATTTCATAATATAAGAGGGTATTAAAAGAACAGATCTGGATCATAATGGCTAATGTTTACACTATCTTTGAACTGACTTTTTCAGACTCTTTTCTCTAATTCTCTGATTGCATTCACTTCGTGCAGGAATTGGCTGAGTCAGTATTCCTGCTGTGGACTAAACTGGTTATCTGTGAAAGAAATCCTTTCAACTGTGGAGAAGAAGAAGATTCTTCACTTTTCAATGATTTGAGAAAGATTTTCCATTTTCCATGTGAAATTCTTATCTGTCACATAAAGATGTAGAGATTTTAGAGAATGGGAGGCAGTTTTTGAGTTATTTCTGGTTCCGTGGATCCTTTGTTTTGTTTACTTTTATATATATATATATATATATATATATATATATATATATATATATATATATTCTTTTTTTTTTCCTAGAGGTCTAGAGTATTTACAACAAATAGAAGACTGGCTGCAAGTTGGATTGTTAGAGCAGAATTGGGAGAAGAGAAAAGCCTGACATCTGATACACAGTATCTCTCCTGAGAGCAAAGAGAGGGAAAGATTCACAAAAATCTCCCTGATTTCAGCATAACAGATGCTTTAAAGCAGCACAGGGGATCCAGATTCTCTCCATCTTCTCAGCTTGCTTCTACTCCTAGACCACTCTTCTGGTTGTTCCTCATGTCAGATATGTACCACCTGTGAGTCAAAGCGTACATCTCATCTATGCCCAACTTTCCTGTTTGCTGCATTTAGGATTTTCCCATTGCACAAATCACACACAGATGCTCACTGTTGTGCTCACTCTGACGTGTTTATCCCTGCCCTATGCCTGCTCAGCAGATCCATCACAAGTGTCTCCTAGCGACTACAGCTTCCTGTAATTCACCTTCCTCCAGCACATACTCTGTGCTGCATCTCAAATAAGCTTAGACAAATACACACTTGGTCATATGACTCTTCTGCTTATTTGTCCTCGATATCTTCTCTTTATCCCAGGGCAAATTTCAAATTTCACAGTCAGTTTGCTGTTTTAGCTCATGCTTACCATTTGCCTTGGTTAGGCTTCCTCTACCAAAGTAAAAAAAAAAAAAAAAAAAAAAGCTTAAGAATGTATACATTGTTATGGAAGAAATCACTGGAATACCAGTGTGGAAGAGGTCACAAAGCAAAACAGGGCAGAGAGGGCGTGCTTAAAGAATGACATATGTGTGACCTAGCTTCTTAACTGTGGCTTGTGACTGCAGTGGGGTCACCTATTTGAATGCAGGAGCAGTAAAATATTGGGAAAGAGTAAAAGCTTTCAGAAAGCACAATGGTCAAAATTGAAGTTAAAGTCAAGAGTGTAATGAATCTGAGGTGTTTCTGACTGCAAATTGCCCTGGCT